CTTGTATACCGAATGGCTCTAGAATGGCAAGCTGTACCTTGCTACTCCCAAGGCGTTAAACGCTATATGCGGGAGCTATTATTATTATTAAAATATAACCGTTGTAATTGGTTTTTGATTTAAAAATTTATAATCTTACTAGCGTGTACCCGCGACTTCGTTCACGTCAAATTAATCATTTGTAATGGTGATGATAAAGCAAAGCAAGAATTTCCAATAACATACAAACTGGATAAAATTTTCTCACATTTATGTCAGCATGAGAAAAAACAATATGGCGATATTATTATATAACTTGGTAATATTGGAGGGGTAGTTTCATCTCGTTGGAATTTGACTTTCGAAAAATCCGTTTGCCAAAAATAAGCTTTTTACGTCAAGCAGTTTAAGCAGAATCGTGGTTAATCAATTACCCAACTTTTTGGAACCCCTGTATGATTTTTTAAGATATTTCAAAATATTTAAAAAAAAATTATGCGTGTTCAAGCGTTTTCCCGAAAGACTAAGCGTTTTTTAAATAACAAATATTGTAATATTTGAGGGACGTTTTCACCCTCTTGGAATTTGAGATTCGAAAAACCCCTCCTTATCGAACCTCTACACCCCACAGTCAATCCGTTTGCCAAAAATCAGCTTTAAACGTCAAACAGTTTAAGCAGAATCGTGATTACTCAATGGTCATATTTTATAAAACACCCTGTATAAATTTATAAAAAATCTTAATATATGTAAAACAACAAAATAAAATATACGTGTTTAAGAGTTTTTCCTAAAAACTCACCGGTTTTTAATCAATGACCAAATGATTAATCAATGACCAAATTTTTCGAAACAACCTGTATACATTTTTAAAAAATCTTAATATATGTGAAAAAACAAAAAAAATATACGCGTTTAAGCGTTTTTTCGGAAACTTGACCGTATTTTAAATAAAAAATATTGTAATATTTGAGGGGTGGTTTCACCCTCTTAGAACTGGAATTTCGAAAAATCCCTTCTTATCGAACCTCTACACCCTAGAATCAACCTGTATGCCAAAATTGAGCTTCTTACGTTGAGTGGTTTGAGCAGGATCGTGATTAATCAGTATGTCAGTCACTTAAGGATTTTATATATTAGTATAGATTGTATACATATATATTATTGTATGTAGTAATTGTATATTCACTTTAGATTAACTTATAATATATGTTTTTAACCACGCTAAATAATACCGTTGAAAATCAACAATATTAAATCTAATTATGACCGGTTCAATGTAAATAATCAAGTTGTTTATTGATAAACAGTAAAGGCTGTTTAAAATCCATCCATTCAATATTAAATACAAGTTATTTATTGTTTTTGTTCAAACTCCTAAATGCATAAAATAAATAACCATGCCCTCATGGATTTATTGATAAAGAATCTATTATAATTTCACTAAATCGAAATAAAATGAATATTTAGTTAAATTTAATATAGGTATTTAATTTAATTTTTAAGGTAACAAAAAAATTAAAAAAGTAATATGTATTGTAGATGTAACATATTGAAGATATTAAATACCCTATTATTGATATATGTGCGAGATTTAGAGATGTATTAATTAGAACATACATCACTGTCAAATAATCACATCATTATCTTATTAACAGCAGAACTTTATTAGAATATACCGGATGCGTCTTAAAAGTGGCTCACCTCTATAACTTTTTGACATTTTTTAACCACAAGATTGACAAAAAATCTCTCACTTCACTGTCAGGCGATAAGCCGTGGCAGCTAGTATTTCCATAACTTAAGAGGTTACGATTGTCATATATTCACTTAGTAATTTTAAATTAAACATGACTGCTCTATTATACCGGGTGCGTCTCAAAAGTGGCTCACCCCCTATAACTTTTTTATTTTTTCAGATAAAAAAATGAGATTTAGTATGTTAGTATATGACATAAATTAGGATTGACTGACATATAGAATTGAGCGTCCAGATTGCACAACGACCTTAGCGCGTGGCCGCGGGCAGCCCAGTAGGCAAGCGAGACAGCTACGCGCCGATTTAACAAAATAAATAATTTTTAACCTGCCGTCATTTAGTTAATAATTATCGTATCGTGTTGATTTTTGCATAGAAATACTCATGAGTCTTTAGCGCTTCCGACAAGCCTAAATAACTGGATTATTTTTTTATATTTTCGATTTGTTTACATTGTGCGAGCATATTATAACTTTGAGATAAAAATTTCTGTTATAAATTTTAAAACTGACAGATTTTAATACTATCATTTAATTAGTTATACATTTAGTTACAACATATTCAAAATTTAGGTCTATCGGTTTATGCTAGCAGTAATAACAAGTATAAATAAAAAAAATGGTCAGTACAACGCTCGCCGTTTTTAGCGCACGTTCGGCTTTGGTTTTAGTTTTAGCGCTATTTTTACAGAAAATAAATTCTGAACTTTGATCAAATGACAAGAACATTATCATTGCCGATATCTCCTGGTTATAATGTAGCATTATTTTAGCTTAAAAAACTTGAATTATGCGGCTTTTTTGCGAGAGCTACCGGCGCTGCGTTAATAAAAAGATGGCTATGTACGTCAATTGAAAGACAGTATTTGCGATAGTCTTTTGTTTACACGGAGTATAGAAAAACTTTTCCACAGCTTGTTTACCAGTAGGATTTGTGCGTTTTTTAAAAATTATTTATTATTAAATAGAGGTAAATTCCACCAAAAAGAAAAATCAAAAGTTAGTAGAAATCCGGATAAATGGAAGTGCAATATTTCTAAAAAAGCTCGTGACGAGGTAAAATTACAGTCTATTGTGGCTAGGATTGACGTACATAGCCATCTCTTCATTAACGCAGCTCCGGTAGCTCGCGCAAAAAAAACCCGCACAATTCAAGTTTTTTTTAACAATTCAATATTTTGAAAAATGAATTCGTCAACTCGTTATTCAATTCGAACTCGTTATTACTGCTAGCATAAACCGATAGACCTAAATTTTGAATATGATGTAACTAAATGTATAACTAATTAAATGATGGTATTCATATCTGTCAGTTTTAAAATTTATAACAGAGATTTTTATCTCAAAGTTATAATATGCTCGGGCAATGTAAACAAATCGAAAATATAAAAAATAATCCAGTTATTTAGGCTTGTCGGAAGCGCTAAAGACTCCTATGAGTATTTCTATGCAGAAATCAACACGCTACGATAATTATTAACGAAATGACGGCAGGTTTAAAATTATCTATTTTGTTAAATCGGCGCGTCCCTGTCTCGCTTGCCTACTGGGCTGCCCGCGCCCACGCGCTAAGGTCGTTGTGCAATCCGGACGCTCAATTGTTTTCGGTCACTTCCTGTTTCACCGGAAATGACTACAACTTTTAATTTTTAAATGGCACCCTCGATATTTTTTTTTAATTTATTTGATAGAAAATATCACTCTGAATCGAATGACATATCATATGTAAACTTTTGACATATTCGCTTAAAAACAAATTGTACTTTAAAATTCAATCTAGACTGCCATGGCTATGTTAAAAACACTAATTTTTAATCAAGGATTCTTGGAAAAATAGATTTGATCGTTTAATGTTTTTAGTGTTTTGTCCTGGCCGGTGAAAATATGCCCAAATCGTATTTTTAATCATATCTCAATTTTTTCAAATGGAACGAGGGTGACTCATTAGCATATTTGGAAAAAGCATTTTTTACGAATAATTTGATACCACACACTTGGTATTTCGAGTCAAATTATCGTTATGAACCGCATGTTATAATTTCAAATAAACCATATGCGAAAATGTCAAAAGTTGACATATCCCCAATAGCACAAGATATTGGCCCAATATTTAGGATATGTTGGGTAAAAATTGTAAGCTGGCCCAATATTGCCGATTTTTAGCCAATATTGGTAGTTGATTGGCAATAAAACTTTTTCCTTTATTATAATTCTATATTTTCACAATAACGTACCAATATTTAAATAATGCATAATTATTTTAATTTTTCAAAAAAAAATATTCATATTATTACAGTCATGTTAGTTTACGACATTATTCTTTTATAGTTTAATAATTCATTGTTTTTTTTAATATAATTGCAATTTACTATTGTCATGCCAATAATTCATAATTTGTGTAATATTTTTGACTTGCAATTGAGTGTTAACTAATCAGTATACCCTGCAGAAATTCTGTAACGCCAGTGGTGAGTGCCAAACACAGTGCCAAATAAACGAAAAGCAATAAAGAAATCTGGTCTGGATAGCCACAACGTCATAAAACGGGTTCCTGTTGCATCCCCACTCTTCTTCCCTATGACGCATTCATTGATGACGCCGCGCGTGCGCCCGCCCGACTTATTTTATAATTTGTTGTGTTCTTTGCATCTCAAAATCATGATACATGCCTTAAAATTAATATCAAGTAAATAATTTGTGATTTATCTATTTGTGTGCAGTGTAATTTGGATCATTTTAAGTAAAGGTGAACTGGTAAGTAGTTTATTTCAACAACTTTTAAATGTAGACTAGTAGATATTTCCTGTAAGAGGCATCCTAACCTAAACATTTACTCAACTACCAGACAATTTAGAAGTAAATAAAAACCTAAAATAATAGCCGTATCCTATTAATTCTCACTTGAATTGTGAAAACTGTTGAAATAAACCTGATGTTTAATTAATGTCAATATTTTTCATATTTTTACATAGGTAAATGGAAACGTTGGGCCAATATTGGCTAAATATAGAATCGAGTTAGCAAAGTTCTGGAGCATTTTAAAACCGCGCGGTTCCAAGTATGGTGAACCTATTGGTTTCCTAGATATTTCACGTTTTTACATTTGATCATTTAATATTTAGACCATATTAGATGTAAATAATTATTTATATAATTTGAAACGTCCTAACCTAAACATATTTAATACATTATCACTGAACTACAAAAAAGAGATTTTACTCCAAGCAAAAGGAAATCTTTATTTAAAGAAAATTTTAAGTATCAAAAAACATAAAGTACGTTGTATGGCTGAATCACCATCGGTTTTGAACAATGGTCAAAGGGAATTAGACGCAAGTCCCTTTGAGCCGTCAGTAGCTTTAACAGGTAACATATATTGATGAAGATCACTTATATTTTGTAGAAATACCTACTTGAACCAAGATAACTTGGGCGTTTGATGTATATTTTTAGCTTCTGAGAGATTGATCTTAAAAGAAATAAAAAAGTTGAATTGGGAAATACAGGATATGAAAAAAACAGTAAACAAGATTCAGGACCTGTTGCTCACAATTAGCATGATTAATATTAAGTTCTAGTGAAGAACCTTTTCAACTACCAATTGAGAACCACGCTTTACTAGAATCTATAGAGCAGCATTTAGAAGATGAAAAAAATATTGAACTTTTGGTAATAATAATTATTTGCAGATTATACTCGTATGAGAAACAAAATGTAAAGCTTATCAAATTGTTTATTTTAGGCTCAACGATTATACCTTTGTGGAGGGGACAATACCCACAAATCTGTTTTTTTATTAATGAAAAATGTTTGCCAGAGATGTAGTAATGCTCTATTCTGGATCAGGAAAGAAGGGAAAATTATCATTTCAGAAGTTGTCATGTTATAAGGCTATTATAAGTATAAATTTTAAATTGTTTTGGTAATAAATTGCAATTAACAAAATTTTGCTTTGTGTTTCATAGAAGCTGTTCGTTTTCCAGGCGCCACGGATGCAGGTATTAACAAATCCATATCTTTGTATTTGACAGGAGCAGCAGACAGGAAGGAAGACGTAAAAACAGAAATGCCCAATATATACAGTTATTTTGAAACAGAAAAATATTTTTCGTTTTTTTATTTATTATCAGGATAACAGCTTATTTTTCATTATTTTATTTTATATAGCAATATATTATGTTTTTATTGATGTAACGTTTTATTGAATCTTTCCCTAATATTTACTTCCCGAATCTATACAACATATTGGTTACAAAGAAGTGCAGTTTTTTTTATATTTCTTTTATTTTTAAAACATATTATATAATATATATCATTCTCATTCAAAAATAATGTTCCACTGTATATATAAAACATACAATAACTTGCATAAAATGCATTGACTTTTCGAACTATCTTGATATTTTGATATCAAGTGACAATAAAAAGTTTCCAGGGAGTTTCCTATTCCGAATCTTGATTATGTGGTATGTACATAGATTCAATGTACAGACTAAATATTGGTCCAAGATTTGCGAAACAAAATGGAAAAATATATGTAAATTATGTTGGACCATTATTGAAAAAATACATTATGTCTATAAATATAGCAAATATAGGATAAATATTAAATATCCATATTGGATCAATATCGATTTTTAACAAAGGACAAATATATGAATGCTATATTTTACCATTAAAAAAAAATCTCGCCTTTTCTTTATTGGGTCAATATATAAATATATTATTTTACCAATGTTGGTGTGCTACTGGGGATGATATGACATTCTATCCAGAGTGTCATTTTCTATCGAATAAAGTAAAAAAATACCGAGGGTGCCATTTAAAAATTCAAAGTTGTAGTAATTTCCGGTGAGACCGGAAGTGACTGAAAACAATTAGATATGTCAATCAATCCTAATTTATGTCATATACTAACATACCGAATCTCGTTGTTTTATCTAAAATAATAAAAAAGTTATAGGGGTGAGCCACTTTTGAGACGCACCCGTATTCTGTTACAGTATAAATTTGAAATTTGAAACAATAAAAATAGAATTATTAATTTCGAAACATTACAACCATTTTGACGTTGCAAACAGTCCTACTGGAAAATTGAGATTATATTTCAAAAACAGCGCATTTGCTTTTTTTGTCTAGTAATTGAAACGTTTCGCACAAAATAAATACTGTCAAATTAAAAATGTGACATATAAACACTGCTTTTCATTTATGTGTCACGCGTAACATTTGATTTTCCTCGATGTTTTGAACTGACCAACAAAAATATTGATATAGAGTTAAAATTGTACTTATCATAACATGTTGGGATATTTTATATTTTTGCTTAATATTATACAGGGTGATTTACGGTTGATGAAGCCGCAACACGGCTGAAAATAATTTAGACAGATGGAGCAGGTATCTTTATGCGAAATTTCAAAAAAATCCTATCCCCTGTGAATCACCTCATATTTTTTGTATTTTATTTTAGATTCGATGTAGTCTAATAATTATTTTATACCTACTAAAAAACTAACGTTAAAGTTGGCTTCAAATTTTATAATGAAAAAGGTAAAAAGACGAAAATTTCAACGCCAACAGTTAAGCTCGTTTAATCTGCGGAAGCCACTGGACACGTCACTCGTAAATCCGCCACGTTTTTTTTTCTGTAAATTTATTTTTTGGTCAGATAGCACGCCAGTGGGCTTAACGAACAACGCACCAAATCCCACTAAATTTAATGTTTCAGCATTTTGTGTCTCGGTTATAGTTTACAAACTCTTTCTTTATTATGTCTAGAATATAAGAGTTGAATATTGTAGCTTGACGGCGCATTATTCAAATTGGATCTTCAGTATTTTTCTGGGTCGGTTTGTATTTGTTGTTTGTTGTTGCTTGTTCAATAATTTCCAAAATTTTTTTTTATGGTGTAGCCCCCTCACATACAGTGTGACCCACTCAAGACCGGGCACCCTCCATAAAATCTGTGTTTATAGTCCGATTTTGATGATTTTTTTTTCAAATATAAAGTTTCAAAAAATGTACTTTAGGGCTCAATGTCATGTTATTTCACAAAAAACAAGGCCTACTTAATAAAGTTTTTGTGGTGAAAAATTTGCAAAATCATATTAGCGATTTTTTTCAAAAAATTTGAGTACACCCCTACATTCGGCATCCCCAAAACAGTTCTGTACCAAATTTCGTTTAAAAATATTAATTATTAATAATTCTGCAGTTAAATTAAATAATTCCCTATTTTTGCCAATTTAACGATGAGTTATCACGTAACCCTTGAAAAAAACAATCCACAACAATGGGTTTTATTAGCTGTCAATTCTTGCAGCGTAGAATTGAATATTAATTTAATAGCACGCAGAAAAGTGTTGTATCAAGAAATATTATTTGCATTATGGAACAATTAAATATTAGGGATAAAATTGAAATTATTCGTTTAGTGGGTGATAACTATCTTCAAGCAGGAGAAGCTGCCAGAGAATTTAACAACAGACATCCCGACAGACCTGCAGTAAGTAGAAGCACGGTTCAACGAATAAATAGAGTTTTTAATGAAACTGGTTGTGTGTCAAAATACTTACTAAAAAACAGAAGGCCGGAACATCGAATAAATAGGCGGAATGAGGAAATATTAGAATATTTTCGTAACAATCCTCGTGCAAGCATTAGAGGCGCCAGTGTTGATTTGGATATACCAAGGGAAAATATTAGGAGATGTTTGCGAACTAATAAAGTTAAACCCTTTAAACCAAAGATTTTACACACTTTGGAAAACGGAGATGATGTTAGACGATTAGAATTCTGCTTATGGGCTCAAGCAGAGTATTTAAATAATAGAAATTTCTTAAAAGAAATTTTATTTAGTGATGAGGCAACATTTAGTACAAACGGAGTAGTATCCTCTCAAAATTCGCGATTCTGGGCAGTCGAAAACCCTGAATGGGTGATCAATACAAGAAGACAGTATTCTCAGAAATTAAATGTGTGGTGTGGCATACTTGATGATAGAATCATTGGTCCATATTTTTTTGAGAGAAATTTGAATAGTCCAACGTTTTTGAATTTTCTGATTAATGACTTTTGGGATGCAATACATAATTTACCATGCCAAACCCGTTTGAATTTAAAATTTCAATTGGACGGATCACCTGTGCATAACGCGGCAGTTGTCAGGGAATGGTTAAATGAAAATTTTGAAAATAAGTGGATAGGTCGAAATAGCCCGCTAATTGGTGGCCACCGAGATCCCCGGACCTAACACCCCTTGATTTCTTTCTTTGGGGTTTCTTAAAGCAACAAGTTTACAAGTCTAGACCTCAATCTGTAGATGAATTACGTATTAGAATTACAGAGGCTTCTGCAAATATTACACCACAGCAGCTTAGGAATGTAACTGTTAATCTAAGAAAAGATGCGACAAATGTATTGAACTGAATGGAGGGCTGGTAGAAGCAACTAGAATTATTTGAATATGTTTAACTTATTATTCGGTTATTGTGTTGCTTGTAGTATTTTTATCATTGTTTGTAATAAAACTCGTTGTCGTGGATTGTTTTTTTCAAGGGTTACGTGATAACTCATCGTTAAATTGGCAAAAATAGGGAATTATTTAATTTAACTGCAAAATTATTAATAATTAATAATTTTAAACGAAATTTGGTACAGAACTGTTTTGGGGGATGCCGAATGTAGGGGTGTACTTAAATTTTTTGAAAAAAAATCGCTAATATGATTTTGCAAATTTTTCACCACAAAAACTTTATTAAGTAGGCCTTGTTTTTTGTGAAATAACATGACATTGAGCCCTAAAGTACATTTTTTGAAACTTTATATTTGAAAAAAAAAAATCATCAAAATCGGACTATAAACACAGATTTTATGGAGGGTGCCCGGTCTTGAGTGGGTCACACTGTATATTTAGTTACTCTCTTTGTAGTTGGACCCATTGTTTATCTATTGTTGGGTATTATTTATTCATTTCTGAATCCGTTTGCTTAATCTGCAAGCACATATCTGCTATTCCCGAAAGGCCATCCCACAACCATCCACTTAGGAATGCGAAGCACGATCGTTATCTGCCAACTCCGAGCTCAGAACTAGTTAAAGGCTCAATAATAGTGATGTAAAATTTCCAGAAATACATTTTCGGAAATATTTCCTGAAACATTGGAAATATATGGAAGTATTGGAAATATATGAAATATTTAAAAAAATAAGAAAAACTGAAATATTTAATTATAAAAATCATAACAAAACATTGCAAAACACAAAATGCTTATACATAAACACAAAAAAGAGTTATTCTTTAAATTAAAAAATAAATTAAGGTTAAATTTGTACAAAAATAGCTATTTATGTAACTAGTACCTAAAATGATGTTTTTTAGGACGAATCATTACTGTTTGCGGACGAGGCGTTAGCCGAGTCCGAAATAGTAGATGAGTCCTAAAAAACATAATTTAGGTACGTGTTACATACACTATTTTTTGTCATACGCTTTTTACAGTTTTTTAGAACGCATATTTGCAAATTTTCCATATTTGAAATTATAATGTTTGAAAAAGTTGGCTTATAAATTCATATCTTAGTAACGAGTTTGTTTATTTCATCGCATTTTGACATGTCATTCGAAATTTGTCACAAAATCACACAAATTCATCAACAATTTTAAAATGTTCCAAAATCCCGAACATATTGCTAATAAGGCCAAAGAAATCGTGTTGGATTTACTTCCTGTGAGTCTCGTGCCATTTACCAGAAAGAATATGATGTTTTTAATGAATGGAAAGACAAAAATGGCGTATTCGTTGTAAATGAAGATGTATTGCTAAATTATTTCCACGAAAAAGTAAGTACCTAGGTACCTATTTAAAAGAGGCTTTTAAATTAAAATATTCTTAAATTACAGTCACAAACATTCAAACCATCGTCAATTTGGTCGAAATATTCCATGCTGAGAGCAGTGTTAAGTGTTAAAGAAGATATTTATATTGACAAATTTCCAAAACTTATTGCTTTTTTGAAGAGGAATTCGGTTGGTTA